TGTTTAATTTCTTATATATATGTATTAAAGCATGCTGTAATGCAGGGAAATGGGACAGAGAAAATCTCCAGTCTAGTGACCACTAAGAATTCATAGGTATTTGTTTCCAGCTCTCCAACATATTTCTTGTGTGCCCTTGGTCAAGTTGATTAGCCTCTGCAAAATGGAGATAGTAAACAGCACTTACCAGTCATAGATAAAACTACATAAATGTAGTAAGTTAAGTTCTGCAGAGTGTTCTGGGATCTTTGATAGGTAGATAGTATGTATGTACTGAATCAGGCAGAGGAGAAAAATGCTTGGAGCAAAAGGCTACAGCTGAACAAAGTGGAAAAAAGAAAAAAGGAAAAATGTGAGGTAAAGAGAACAGAGAGGCTGGGAGAGGAGTGGGATGGTCGAAACAGTTGGGATCAGTTGGAGGTCATTAATTATAAAATACATGGATCCTCTTCAGAGTTAATAGGGCAAAATTGGAACAGTAGGATAAAAGGCTTTGTCTAGCAACATCTAAACTGGTGAATCCAAAGGCATTTTACAGGCTATGCTGATCAGCTTTCCTCAAGTTGAAGGAAAACATCAGTGAGAAGAATGTATGAAAATCAAAAAGGAATTATTTTTTTCCAAGTCATACTCTATGTCCTTCATTAAGGGCTACAATTTATCATTATAAAAAAAAAAAAACAAACCCAAAAGTGAAGGAGAACATCATTCTGTAAGAAGTATGGGAGAGCTAAACTCTCATTTAAGAAGCATGTTTCAAAATGGAATATTCTGCTTGGGCTTAGGAAAAAATTTTTCTACTCCCTCCTGCAAAGAATCATCCATTCACTACTTCAGGTATCTGGAATTGAATGATAAACATTAACTAAGCCATCTTTTTTTACATTCTTGTATCGTGGTTCTCGTGATAATTTGTAAATATTAATTTCACATATCACTTTTGACACATATGATCACAATGTATTCTGAAATCATAAGTCTCAGTATCCAAATGCTGGTTTAATCAATATTCTTGTTTGATGAAAAAAAATACATTCTTTTATTTCCAGTTTCATTCTCCAACATTTGAAAAAATATGAGAAAACAAGCTGTAACTATTTGAGTGTTTTAATCAAACATATTTTAGATGGCTGTAAGTTTTTGCATGTACTGCAGCAGAACAAGATTTATCTCACTTTTTTACTATCACAAAAAACTTTTGATTTTCAGATATGAGATTAACTAGAGATGTTGTAATTGATAACTGCCTGAGTGTAGAGTGAATGTGAGGAAAGAAAGCACAGAAAATAAAGCTGTTTTTCCATAGGAAAGTATATATACAATGTTAAACCAGGTAAGAAGCTTAGTGACAAAACATTTCTAGTTGCAGTATTTAACAGAAAATAGTGTTCTGAAACACTAATAAGTTGAACAGTCTTAAGCTGGGCTGTGCTGATCAGAAACACAGACTTCTATATATTTATTTTACTAATAATTTGAAGTCCATTGCAAATTTCTCAGTCTTGCAAAACAGCGGAGAACACTGGTGGGTAGCTTGGTGTCATGCTCGTATAACCTCTGCTTGCCTGCAACACCTCAGATCTGTTTGTATGAAGAACCCTTGGACAGGCTCCAGTTGTTCTCCAGTTCAGATGGTATTACCAATGAAAGCAATTCTACCTTGTGCTGAGCACTGTCAGTTCCTGTTAACTTCAGTTTAAGTGAAGGGGCACAGCCCTTCTTAGAAGATGCAAAGTAGTGTCAGCTCAGATTCTTAAGATGAAATTCAGTTCTTTGCAGAAGGTCTGCACAAAGCCTATGTATCGTTTAAGTGCCACTTAATTCTTTATAATGGAGCTTGGAGTGGATTTGAAGAATCTGATAGGCTTTTTGTTGTCTCGTCTGGTGAATATAAACAGTAAAAAAGCAAGTGTACCGCCTCAGGAAATACAGTGTATTCCTTTGCTTTGGCTAGTGTAACTCAGTTTCAATTGCTGATAGAAATTCTTTGATACTATGCTGATAAAACCGTTGTATACTTTGCTCACTCCCTATGTTATATATTTAGCTTCACTGCGCTACTCTGCTGTAATGGACAAACTGAAAAGTGAAAATGCAAAAATAGATGTAATCCCATCGACATGAGCATGGCCCCCCGTTTTGCAACTGTAACTACCCACGGGTGTCTGAACAGTGACTGGATAGACAGCTCATACCCTAGTGTGAGCGTGCCTGCCTGGCCTGCTTGTGGCAAATGGTTTGGAAAGCAGGGCCTGAGGAGGCAGGGATTCAAGAGTCTGTGTGTTTGTACAGCTTGTAAGACAAAGCAGGGCCAAGAGAAAGAGCTGGATAAAACAACTGTGGAAGATTTGTGGCAAGGGAGAGACCTGGGGAAGGGGGGTCTGTTTTGTGTTACTGATATCAATCCTGCACTGCTGCTGGTTATGTGTCATTAATAAATTAATAAACCATTTTAATACTGATTTGCTTTAAGCCATGTGGGCTGAGTAGTTTTCCCCCCCCAGAAGTAGTTGTTCCAATTCTCAAGGCCTAAATGCATGAGGTAGTCTATACACTTAGCGCAGAAATGTTTTAGACTTCATCTCCTGTAAAATACTTTTGGTATGTTCTAAATTTGTGTGCATATCCCCAATACCCAGAGCTCAGACTCCATATATTTGTAATATTTCCAATAGCTGCATTCTGAGGTAACAACCAAGCAAACACTGAGTAATTCACAGAGGAGGGAAATATTTTTGTAAAGATTAGTTCAAATTATGTTTCCAGGAAAACCTCCCACCTGAGATAGTAAAGGCAATCTAGCACATATTTTTTGTTTTAACCAACTGTTCAGTCTTTCAGTGATCCTTCACATTGTTGAAACATTGCTAGAAGTAGCCATTTTGAACTGTGAATTGCAAAATATACACCTGCAAATGGATGAGGCTTCATGTTGACATTTTTACTGAGCTTTTTTCTGTAAAACCTGCAACTGGATGCATGCCTTCACTCAGAAGGGATGTTACAAATGAGATGTTAGCCTCAAAACCTGATATGATCCATTTCTCTGTAGAGGAGTACCTACGGACCCCAAGCAAATTCCAGATTTCTGTATATTATGTGCTATAAAAGCTTAGTGAGTTTGCTTCAAAAAATTGTAGCTATGAAAATTGTCTGGGAATCATTCCTCCAGTGAGATATATATACAGATATCTTGACTAATGAACAGTGCAAATTCCTATGTTGACATCTGGGAGCTAAGGTGCTTTTTATGTTGAAAACCTTAATAGGAATTTTAGACTGAGCTTCCACTGAAAGAAATCAGTGTTTGTTAAATTCCTGGAGCTTACCAACAATTGTATCAGGACTGAGGACACAGGTTGTTTCATGTCAAAATACTGCAAAGGATTTTATTAAAAGACTAAATTACACTTCTATTTCTTGCCATGAACTGGTGGCATTGGGAATTGTATTCCTATGCCAGTTCTAGACAGAGGAAGTCGGGGACATAGGGAGTCTGAATCACACGTTCAGGTGAGAATAAAGAGCTGCAACTGCCAGTGGCTATAAATACCTGCTTTTAAGCTCTGTGGACCCGAAGTTAATTTGGAGCATCATAAGCTTCTCATATGCTTATGTTGCTAAGTGTTTCTCCTGTAGTTTTCTTTTTGTTGGGCTCATGGAGGTTGAAGATATACTGCATGTATTGGTGTCAAGCATCAACACAGAAGAAGACAATTGGTGTTCCCATCTGTGGAACTTGTTCTGCCCTTTAACCCTAGGATACTTACATACAAATTGAGGTGGTGAAGATTTCTCATAGTCTAGCCCAGGATTGCTGACGTGATCTCTGAAAGAACTGAGTATCATTTTCTGTGGACAGAACTTACCAACTGAACAGAAGATGAATTGTTTGGGGGACCTTACCTTGTTTAGCATGAATATATGGCACCATGCAAGTGAACACTTCTCTGTATATGTACTTTATAATATCCCAAACACCTCATCCTACAATTTTGCCTACAGGGGGAGAGCGAAAGAGTAATGAAATATTAGATATTAGTCCTATTGCTTAGTATTCTATGAGAAGAATACCAGATATTACAGAGGTGAACTCAAAAGAAGTATAATCCATAAAGAAGTCTACAGGAATTAAAGCCCTCTTTCTCACTGCCTTGAAGAAATGATCTCCCTGCAGCTCATCTGCATCTACTTTAATGCAGTCACAGCTCTGTTGTGCCAAGAGTGCCAGTGTGTGACCTTGGGGAAATTTTGCAGACCCAGCTTACCAGAGGTGCAAGCATTAAGAAGAACCACAAAACACACAACAAACTACCTATCAGACAATTAGGGACCTTCCTGACTGTACTTCCTTTCCATTGCAGTTATAGGATAAAAGGGTATTTGTACCAGTCTTTCCCCTCTGCTCCTTGTCTGCTACCTCATGATTTCCCAACCTTTATTTCATTTACACCAGTCCTTGTTATGTTCCTAGTTCTTGCCCCTTTCTGTTCACTACCATTGCAAGTATCACAGAGTTCCACAATTCTTGTCATTTTGTTGACCACCTCTAACTGTTTATTATATTTTTAATCTCTCCACTGTGGGTCTCATGTCTAGTTGCAATGCAAGCACTTTGGGAGAAGGAGTGTCTGCCCAGGTATATAGTCTAACACAAAGGATTAAGTTGTTAGCCACCCCGACAATATTTCCTTGACTGTAAGGAGCATGGAATTAGAAAATTAGCTAACTTTTCTGTTCTTTTGATTTACAACTCTCCTTTGGGCCATTGTTGGGTTTTAAGTTCTATTTGTATTATGAAATTTGTTGGCACAGCAGGTATTATGAATATTTTTTTTAAATTGCCTAGGGCTGTCTACATCATAACCTGTGGCTGCATTATCAGATGATGAAAATAGACAAGGCAAATGAAAAAGTGTTTAGAGATAAGTGAAATATGAATTCTCTTGCCAATTGTTTTTGGTTGTGTTTGTTTTTTTTTTTTCTTTTCTGTTCCATAGCACGAATTATCAAAACAAAACAGTGGTGTGAAATGCTTCCATGTTTAGAAGGAGAAGGCTGTGATTTGCTAATCAATAAATCAGGCTGGACCTGTACACAACCAGGAGGACGGATAAAGACAACCACGGTAGGTTACTTCTCTGTTCTATATTTCTTCAGTTTCTCATTCACTTTAGTTTACTGAAAAACAAGGAGTGAGATTTCTAATTGTTTTTTGGCACAGATAGGTAAAGTCTGTTGCCTTATAATTAAGCTATGTACCCAACTGTGCATACTGAAATACACAACAGTGTTATCTCAAAGGCAAGAAAAATGTGTAATTCCCACAGTTACTAAGGGTGAAAATTATATCAAGGTTTTCTTAAAAGGTGCCAGTGATTTAACTAGTATTTGTATTCAGCCTGAAGACAGAGCCTTATTGCTTTGCTATACAAGAATTTTCTTATGCTGAGAAAGCGTAGGGTATAAAACTGAACACATGGTCTAGAAGGGTGAAAAGAAAGCTTTCAATGGGAATTGGAGAGAAAGTATTTTTGCTATTCTGACTGTACTAGAAAAGCAAGATGCACAAGCAGATCTTTAGTTTTCAGTGAGAGAGTCAGTGAGACACAGAAAACATGTGAAGAGATCCATTGTTTCATCTTCCTTTTGGTCCTGGTTTGTTGATAAACCCCTCAACTCTCTGATTTGGTGTCTTGGGGCATGTGCTTGTAGTGTAGCTAAGAATATATATGACAGTAATAGTTTCTAGGGCCTGTAATATATCAAACAGATTTCTAGAAAATGTTCTCAAATGCCAACAACACTTTGACTTAAAAATGGAAACAAATCTGCAGAAGTATAATGGAGCAATTTTCTGATATTTTTCTAGAAGCTTGAATAATTTTTTCCCGTTTTTGTTTTTTGGTTTTTTTTTTAGATTTACATGGAGCTTGAGTGTAATTTAAATGAGTGCAATTTAAAGAGTATTTAGGTGTAAAAGTACTTACCAGTGAGGAGTAAATTAAGGCCCATCATCCCCTGCACAATTTCTCTGTCTGAGCAGGAGACAGACACCAGTACAAAACCTTCTATTGTTTTAGAATGCCTATATTTTGGAAAATTAACATGTTTTTCGCTTTTAAGAAAGGAATGAAGATTTGATAGTGCTTTATGAGATACCTACAAAACAAACTTTATGAATTGTGACCACTGTTTTGATGCTCCTGTATTTACCAGACATAATATTCTATATGGACAGGGCTATAAAACTTAACGCAGTCTCTGAGGTCTTACTAAACATTGTTTGCCTGTAGATCTTTTGCATTCAAATTATGTAAGAGTGGCATAAAAAAAAAAGGAAGGAAATAAGTTTCTGAAACATTAATGCAAACTTCCAAGGGCAAGAAGACCTAATACAGTAACTTTGTCATACTTGAAATATTATCCTAAATCTCTTTAATTCAGAGGTATTTTCTACACCCAAGGTAAACAGAAAACCCATGTACTGTGACACATTGCCAGCTGTCATTGTAGTTCTTTATTTGATGTTTTGTGCTAATAGCATGACTGAGTAATGCAAAGAAAGCAGAGATCTTCAGTATCTGTCTTTAATGGAGTGATTCAGATATCCTTTCATTTGATATCTGATTCTGAACTCTCACTTGTCTGCACAGCTCTTTAATGCTACTGACATGAATGGAGTGACTCATAAATTTGATTAACATAAATGAAATCATGCCCCATCAGTAAAATTAAGGCCATAGCAAGTGTAATATTGTAAAACAGACTCTCCCCCACACAGAGATATCATTGTCATTGGTAAGGAGAGATTCTGCCAGAGAGCCAACTGTAGAACAGCTCTGAGCATAAGCCCACATCTACATCAAGCAGTCTTCAACAGTTGGTATTACACATTCAGACACACAACAAACACACAGTACGTTTCAGTCAAGCCAGACTAGCATCTCAGATTACTTAAAGAAGCACTGAATGCAGAACGAGAAGGGGGGGAGGGGGAAAAAGTTAAAAAAAAAGGAACCTAAGAAACCCCATAAACCCCAATTACTGAAATATTAAGAATAAAAAGTATATGTTCATTTGTTCTTTAGCCACTTCGTTGAAGAGTAAGCTTTGGACAATGGTAATTAATAGGTTTGGGAACTACGTCTTAGGATGGCTCTATAAAGTGTATGACTGTGATTAAAAGGAAAGAATTTTTCTAACAGAAACACCAAGACACATGCTTACTGTATCAGTACTCTTAGGTCAGCAGCTGCTGATGCAATCAAGTAATTTCTATTTCTGCTCTTAATCATCACACCTGAGTTGCCAAGCCCATCATGGCATCTAAGTGCAACAGGAAGAATTCCCTGCTGGGAAGATCCAAGAAAATGGCCAGCGGTAGTACAGCGAAATAAATGTCCAAACATATCATATTAATTATTATATATGAAATGTCTGTTATGAAGTAGAAATAATTCTTGACCACATCTCCAGTAACAGCTAGATTAGGTCCTTAATATTTTAACTAGCAATTTCATTAACACACGTTGTTAATCTAATATTTGCAGGCCTTTCCTGCTAACATTAGCTTATATCCTAAAGATACTTAACAGCAGGTCTTGCATTATCAAGTGGCGATAGATCATATAGCAGAGATATTGCTGTTTGGTAAATGCTGAGACAATAACTTGCCACACATACTAAAGCCAGAGCAGTATTGAACTCTGATGGACTAAGACCAGCTGTTGTGGTAATACGAGCTTTCACACTGATTCCAGGAGGTTGTGTAGAATCGTAACTTTTTAAGTAGTGTATTTACAAGTAGCACATGGCAAGGTAGGACTGGTGGAGGTCTTACGCAGAACATGAGTTCCTTTTCACATGAGAATATACTTTAGGACTCACAGTTATATATGCGTCTACCCCCAAAAAAGGGAAGAAATATGATTCCTTTTCTGTAGACAAGTTTAATATTCAGCATGTTTTCTATGAAAAAAACAAGCAAACAGTGAATGAAAATACCCATAGATCCAAAGCAAAAGTACAATTTCTGTAAATAGGGAGCATTGCTGCTATGTTATGCTGCATGTCAAAATTGTGCAGACTTTCTACACAGAGAGAGGTTTTTTTCACTGCCTGTCACTTTTTATTATCACCTCTGGAAATAATGAAACTAAATCAGAATTATCCCCTCATGTGGGTAGCAGTGGTTTATATTCATTTTGTGTTCACTTTGCACAGCTATAAATGACTACACAAGGTGCAAGGCAAAGGAAAATCAGGCTCAAAGTATACTCTAAATGGATCTGGATGTCACTTCTGCCCTGTCATCCTTTCTACAAGGTGTGAATGAACCAAAGATTTTTCATCTGCTAAGAGGCTTTTAGAATTGAGGACTGACCAGGCTAACTGCCAACCTATGTATTAAGCAGCTGACTGTTGATTCAAGGAAACAGTATGGCACCTTGTAAAAGAGGATAGCAAGAGAATATTACACAATTGTTAGCACTTTCAACAGACTAAGTACCTTCGTATAACAAATGTCTCTACAGTCACTTTAAAATCACCCGCCTTAAAAATTTCTTCTTCTGCAGTTCATATTGCTCTTTCAATTCTTTAAAAAAAGTTATATGATTTTCAAAAATAGTATGTAGGTTCAATAGTGACAGCAGATATGCCTTCTTTTTTTTTTTTCTTAAGATATTGCTGAAGGGCCTATCCATTTTATATTTCAGGTATAATACTTGCCAGCATATAGATGGGAATATACATAATGTATTGGATTTACAGGGGATATTAATTTTAGCACCAAAGTGTATATATGTTGTCAATGATCCATCACTACCTAATTGTTACTTAATTAATTCCTTCTTCTACATGATGTGATTTCAATGCATGGAGCTAAACCGAACATTCATGTGCCAGTTCCTCGGTAGCTAACCTTTTAAAACCTTTGTGATTTTACTGCTAAATTAGCTGAAGTGGGAAATTAAGGAGTATGAAGAAACTGAGAAGCTCACAGTGGATAAAAGGCGTAATTACTCTGACATGGAGCTCAGTGCTTAGCTAGTGAAATTTATTAAGGATCTAGCTTCACCAAGGGATGTGACTTTCATAATAGAGTTTACTTAGACACAGAGCAACTTAGCATTCTTCACCATTAATATAAATGACATGGTGGCTGGATTGGAAAGGCAATTTCTTCTTTACCCTGAAAAATACAATAGCTTTTTTTATTGGCTGTAATTTAAATCAAGATTTTTCTGCAGAGCTTTATCATACATGTATGTATGATAAAGGTAACTCAGATAAAAAGTAGTGGTTTGCTTTCATCATTTACAGGCAATGTGTTCTCACTCATCCCATTACATTCAAAGTAAAAAAGAAATATATATATATATGTTACATATTTGTAACATACTTGAGAATTTACTTTTTTTTAGACTGAAGACCAGCTGGAAATGTCCTGAGGCCATGGTCTAGTGGTCTGAGCTTGGGACTGGGAGCCAGAAACTCCTGAGCTCTAATCCCGGCTCTGACAGTGACGCCCTCTGTGGCCTTGGGTAAGTCACTGAACCTCCCTGCCTCAGTTTCCCCAGCAGTAAAAATAAGATTAACAATATTTAGTGAGTCTAGGAGTACTGAGTTAACATTTTAAGAGGTTTAGAAATTCAGAGTAACTTAAAAATAAAAATATTGTTATTTATAAATGTCCTTACTGGTGATATTTATGCTGTTGCTAGATAATCATATAAGCTTGGCATTCCTCTACTTAGTCTCACCTACATTTCAGCTCTGAGTGTTTCTAAATGTGCATTTCACATCTCCACAGGTCAGCTGATTTTATTTGGTTAAGCTGTTTTTAGAAGTTTTCTGACGTTCCACTAGTTCTAGTTCTGTGTCATTCCAGGACACAATACCACCAAAGTAAGCTTTCAGACAGCACCATATTAGAGCAGTAGAAAGATGCAGGCATGCATGCCATGCCAAATTAGGTTTCCTCCTTCTCCTTTGTCAGAAGTGGTCAATTTATGAAACAGATGCATTAAATCCACTTGTCAGCAGTTCATCTACTGAGTTCCTTCACTGTCCTAACTGTAAGAGGAGCACTACATACAGACCAAGATTAAAGAAGGTATTTTT